AAAGGTTGTAACAGCAAGAGTTTCACCGAGTTTTCTATGAGACTCTGATAATAACGTCAGAAACTACCTACATCCATAGATTATCACTAGTTTGACTGACTAAACATAAGCTGAACAAGAACTACAGACAACTAAGAAATTCTGAGAATGGGAAAAACATTCTTCCCCAGGGGGAAGCATGAAAAATTGGTTATTAAATACCAAACTGTCAATCCTGAAAACATACTTATGTGTAACCGTGTAACCTTATATAGACTAAGCATGTTATATTGAAGGGTGTGTGTGTGTGTGTGTGTGTGTGTGTGTGTGTGTGTGTGTGTGTGTATGAATTTGAAAGAGAGTAAGGATGGGTAAATGAAAAGGTTTCAAGGAATGAAGGGGTGAAGAAAACGATGGGATTATAGTATACTCTCAAAAATATAAGATGCAATTATAGTACAATCTCGAAAATGTAAGAACTAATTTTAAAAAGAGAGAGAGAGCTTTAGGTGCAGTTCTCTTGCTCAAATTATTATGAAATCTCACCTAAACCCCCTTTAAGGAAAGAGAGAGGAGAAGGGACATAGAGTGGACATTTTCCAGGACGAACATGTCTACAAATAGAGACGTACTAGTTAAGAACATTCACCGTTAGGTTTTCTGATAAATAAGAATTTCCTTAACACATCAGAGGACTGGAAACAAAGGCGAATATTGCTCTCTCGCAGATGTATATAGTATGTTACGTATAGAAGATCTTGTATGCATGCCCCTCTTCTAAGAGCCAACTCATTTGCCTCATCACAGCGCTATGGTTAAATGCTACTGTTTTACCCATTGTTTGTATGATCAGACATGGAAAAGGTGAAGGATTATCTCATAATTGATAAAGGCAGAGATGTATATAGTATGTTATGTATAGAAGATCTTGTATGCATGCCCCTCTTCTAAGAGCCAACTCATTTGCCTCATCACAGCGCTATGGTTAAATGCTACTGTTTTACCCACTGTTTGTATGATCAGACATGGAAAAGGTGAAGGATCATCTCATAATTGATAAAGGCAGAGTCTTAAGCTGGCTCCTGACCTTTGGTTGACATGCTTTGGTTTTGTACATGCTTTTTTTTTTTTTTTTTGACAAATTCTCATCATTAGGCAAGATCTACAATGAATAAAAAGAAGTTTAGAAGGCTAGAACAGGGGAAAGATAAAAGGCACATATAAGGACACCAGGGTTTAGGTTAGAGCATCAAATTTTTCTGTGAAATGAAGTTGGAAAGGGCAGGCAGGATTTGGTTGTAAAATCAGGGTTAGGGTTATGTGGATAACTTGTAGTTATTAGTGTGTTATTGGCTCCCATTAAACAGAAGCCTGAGATCATGCCTTTCAGATATTGAGTTAGAGCTGTTAGAAAAATTCATGGAGGAAAAGAGTGGATGTAAGTAATTGAGTCAGGAGACAACTCAATCATTTGGGCAAATGCAACAGAAATATGGAATCTGGGGAGATAAGATAAGGAAAAAATATTAAGGCTGTTATGAGAAATGAGTGTGACAGAGAGTAGAGAGAAAGTGGCTTTAACATAAATGACAAGTTTCAGGTCTGGGCCAAACTGTGAGGACGGTAATGTTAACAATACAAGTAGAAGACAGCAAAGTAAGAGGAGAAGCAATTGTGAGTGTCAAGAAGAGGCTGTTTTGAATATACAGTTCTACACTGAAGGAATAAACAGAACATCCATGAAGACATGCCTAGTAGGTAACTGAGAACATGGACTCCATTGCGGGAAAGCACTCAGGTTTGGGGTATAGCTCTCTAAACTTTTCTCTTGAGAGTAAATGTATGAAATAGATGGCTCAAGACGTCTGTGAGAGAAAAGGCTTTCCTTCTAGCAATGGTATGTGATTCCTCACAGTTGCACGGTGGTCTCTATTTCATTTGTATGTCCTTAGTTCATATACCACAGAACTCAGTAAACTAGCTTGTTGGATCTGTGAAGACATCTAAGAGATATCAGGAGGTTTTGCAAAAGAAACGCACTTTCAAATGGTCCAGATTAGCTTTGTCTTTATAAGGGTAGTTTATTCTACTATTTTCTCATCTGGGATCTATTAGGGAAAGGTCAGTCTCCAACAACAACTTTACACTGGAGACAGATCTTATCTTGGTAATTCATACATAAAATTCTATTTTATGTTCTGCTCTATATTTCCTGAATAGTGGCAGTCCCATGACTCATGGCTGCATTTTTAGTCAAGTGTAGCCTGTATGAGAAATAAGTGAAATGAAGAACCTTGACTTTTCCATTCCTTTAGTGCAGTAAGTGAGCGACCACTGCAGTTAGTAAACCTACACTAATGGGGAGGCAATGTGGGAATAATGCCGCATTTCCATATGTAAATCATTTCTTATTTGACATTTAAAACTCCATTAAAATGTAAAGATTTTTTTCTTAGAAGGGAGCCTATAACAAACCATTTGGGAGGTTTATAGAGAACCTCTAGGTTAGATTATTGAGTTTAAAGCTGCATTTTTACCTACTCAGTTTCAAACTTGGTACTTTTTAAAAACCACTCCCTGAGTAGGTTTTACCGGGCACTTTTGTGGGATTAAGGACTCAATCCCAGTCAGGGCTCTCTATAGAAGATGAGGAATGCCAGAGGTTCCTGAGCAAGCACAACCAGGAATCCTGCAGAAAAATCAACCACTTTATGAAGTAGTTAAGCAAAGCAGGGAGGCGTGGCTAGAATCAAGTCCCCAGCCCATTCCCTATGGTGGGATGCCATGCTCAGCTTTAATTCATGGAAGAGGGGCTGGCCCAGCCTATTGAGACAGACATTGTTGACTCCTCATGGGGGTCTTACTCATGGGGAGGAGCGCACTGGGAGTAGGCTGGGGGCATAGGTGGGGGGGGTAGGTGGTTGGGGGATGGGTGTGTGTGCTGAAGGAGGGGTGGGAGAGAGAACTGTATTTGGAATGTAAAATGAAATTTAAAAGAATAAATAAATTATAAGAAAAAGAGAGTCAGCCAATAGAAGAGCTGAAGAACAATGATAGTGCCTCTGTCTTTTACGCCTGGAAGACGGTTGAAAGGGCATAAGGACCTCTGGGCTAGTCCACGTTATAACCATGGTGCCTTGTATGAAAGCAATGACCAGTTCTTTCACTGATTTCATTTAAGATTGATTTCAAGCATCAACTGAGCTTTTTCAGGAGCAAATGGAGAAGAACTCTGATTTTACCGAATTTGGGTGCAGTATTGTGTACATTTCTACCATGAGAAAGAAAAAAATATGGAGTTATTACATCATATAACAATACCACATTTAAGAATTCAATTTTTTGATGAATACTATAGAATGGAAGGACATGACAGTGTTTGGACTTGTGGATTTTTTTTTTTTTGTCTGATATGTGTGTGTTGGCATAGCTTGATGAATCAGTTACAATCACTAGTAAGTTTATAGGACTTGAGTGAGCAGAGGCAGTGGATTTTAATTTGATCATAAAAATGGATTTTGCAAAAGACCCCCACATCTTAGAAGAAAAGAAACTCTATAGTACACAGTTCATCCAAACTTACACTTAGAGCTCCATGGTTTCTTACTAAAGTCTCAAAGCAGGGTGGCATCCCATGTGTGCTGTAGGAAACTGATACTATGCCTGCTGTAATAATTTCACAAAGGAATGTTTACAGAGTTGTTATAGACACCGTACAGCTAGGGGTGGCATTCATCCTAGAGGGGACTTGAAGTATTTAGTGGATTGTGTGTGTGTGTGTGTGTGTGTGTGTGTGTGTGTGTGTGTGTGTGTGTAGTTATAGGCAATCTTTTCTTGTTGTGCAAGTATCTCTGAGAGTATGTCTTACAATGCAAACTTCTAAGGCATATGGCTGCTTCTGATCTAACAGCCCAGGAGGTTTCAATGTGGGCAGTCTACAAGCCATATTAAGAAAGACACTGAGTGTAATTTGTATCTGGTGCTTCTCATTAAAGTCTATCCACTGGTAATTAACAATAACCTCAGCTTAAACAGAAACACACACTCTCACATTCTGACATGCAAAAAGTCTAGTTTTTCAATGCACAGCAATATGTCATAAAATGCTTTGCACAGCAACTACTAATTTTAATAGATATTTTCTATCATTTAATAATAGAATTTAATAATAGAAATTTTCTATTATTTAAAACTGTAAGACATCCTTTTGTCTTTTTCTCTTTGGGTACATTCAAAAATTATTTTATGCTTTTATCTTTATTTTACTTGTACCTTGTATTTATACAATCACGCATACTCAAGCTGGAAGAGGTAAAGCAAGATCTCTAACTAAAATATGACATGAAAAGAATGCATGTTTTAATAAGGTCCTAAACTGGAGTTTTAAAAGACTCCACTGGGCCCACTGGAGCTGTTACAATCTATTAAATTCAATTTATATAGGTGGAAAATCCTTATTATGCATTTTATGATAATATGCATCTTAAGATGTCCCATGATAAATATTATCCTCAGTACAAGACCATAATGGTTATTAACTCAGTAAAATTAATAATAGGCCATTTAAATGATCCAAATTTTAAAGACTCTCAGAGGAGATTTATTTTTTTAGTGAAGTGTTGAAATAAAAAAAAAATTCCTACCATTTTGTGAACAAAGCAATATAAGCTTAAGGAGTTTTTGAAACTGTTCAGAAATGATAAATGAAACCTAGTTCCAGGACCCAGGTTCTTAGACCTTCTGCTCAACTGTTCTTTAGCAACTGTATTTACGTCTTATGGTGACTGTCCTCCCCACTGGTATCACTCACTTGTAAGTGGTCTTAGTTATCTGACTAGGTTACTCAACAATGGGCCAAAAATAAGATGCTGGAGCCCTACCTCATCCATCCTTTTTACTCTAACAGGTGTGAGCCTTGGGCCACATAGCTCTGGAGCCCAGCAATGGTTCACATCAGTCATTTCTCTGAGGGGAGCTCCTCTGCAAGTCAGAGCTTGGTGCTTCAGATAGTGGGATCCTACAGGCAGAGATCAGAACACTTCTCCAGGGCAAAATATGACGACAGTAACCCGGAACCTTGTACTATCGGTATTTCACCACTGAGGAATTCAAGTTTTGCAAGACCGGTGGAATAGTTCCCTAAAAGACCTGTGTTGGGGTGCACTTTGTATTCTGAACTCTGCGAATGAGGAATATACACTGTCAGAAAACTGGCAAAGGTCTGCTCCGCGTGCCTTTCCTCAACACTATACGCAGCAGTGCACTATTTGCATGCTGGCAGGAAGGAAACCTAAGAAATGTTTGTTCACATGGTGTGGTACCCTGGTTTGCCTTCCTGGGGCTCTGATAAAGATTCTGAACAAATGCACCCTGGGGGAATAAGCCATTTATTTGGCTTGCAGTTTACAGTCTATCATGGGGGAAAGCCAAGGTAAAAACCCAAGCCGAGAACCTGGTGGCAGGAACTGAAGCTGCAACTATGGAAGAATTCTCTTTTCTGCCTGGCTGCTCTTGATTCGTGTCCAACAGCATTCTTATATAACCCAGGCTCACCTGCCCAGGGGCTGGACATTCCTACATTAATCAACAATTTTAAAAAAGTACACCTCACAGATGTGCTCACGGGTCCCCAGGCCAGCCTGATTAAAGCCGTTTTTCAGTTGAGGTTCTGTCTTCCCAGGTTCAAGGTAGATAATTATAAGTAACTGCCACATGGTAACCTAGATGGACTTAGACCTTGTCTCAGGAATAAAGCAGAGAGAAAACTATGAAAGATGCCGTTCATCCCTTCATTAATCTTTGGCTACCACATATGTACTCATCGACATGAATGCATGTAACTCTCTCTCTCTCTCTCTCTCTCTCTCTCTCTCTCTCTCTCTCTCTCTCTCACACACACACACACACACACACACACACACACACACACACACACACACACACCTACCTGGTAATAATTCTAACAAAGGTTACCTCTTGCAAGGCATTACTACTAATAAAGAAGATCTGTGTTGTGTAGATGGTCTGGAAGCTAAGAGCACAAGGAATGTGCTCTTGGAGATAACCAGAATTTGATTCCCCGCACCTACCATGGGCAGCTCTAACTACCTGTAACTCCAGCTCAGGGAACCCAGTGCCTCTGACCTCCATTGACACTAACATTCATGTCCTCACAGTCACAGACACACGTACATATGCATACACATAATTAAAAAATAAAATAAACCCTAAAAAAGAATAAGAAAACATCTAAGTAGATAGATCATGAATTGGGATGATTCTATAAAAGTTCCAACCAACTTTCATACTAAAAAACAAAACAAAACAAACAAACAAACAAACAAAAACCAACTCATTCCAAAATCTCAGCAGGTTGCTGATGAGAGCAGAAACTGGTTAATTTTGAAATTGATATGCATATTCCAAGATGCTAGTTTGCCCAGGATAACCTTAAAGAGCTAGAGATGTGTGCTTGTGGCCGAATGCTCACTGTAGGTGAGTTACTCATGCAGTGTCATGTCATGAGTAGAGTTCAGGGATCAGGCTGGAGACTCCTTTGTTTCTTTGAATTCTCATTTCCATGAATTGCTTCAGTATCTGCCCCTTCCCCGTCCCCCTGTTCCTGTGGCGTTGCCGCTACTGTTCTCACAATCCGGCTTCAGTTTCGGTACTGATTATTGCACCAGTTACCTAAGCTGCTTTTCCATTCATCAGCACAGTTCTCATGTGCCACATTTTTAATTTAAAGCTTTCCTAGGACTTTGGATTTAGCTCAGAAGTAGACTGTTTGGCTACCATGTGCAGGGCCTTATGTTTTATTCCCCGTGCCATTAAAAAACAAGTTAGCTAAAATATGTATGTATTGATATTATATACATAAAATATATGTGTTAGTACAGATGAAGTGTTACAACATTTACACATGAATGACAATACCTAGAGTCCATGAATCCATATAATACAAATGTATATTTAGAACTTCTTATGACTGTAATGTTTATTAACATAATATATATAAGATTCACACATTTGCAGTAATTTGAAATATAAAGTATGTGTGATATTCATGTTTTCAAGTGAAACGAACAACCATTTCTTATGCCCTTACTACTTTCTTTTTCTCTAATTTACTTTTCACTGTGCTGCATATCAAGCCTGGGTCCCTGAGCACTCTACGAATGAGCTATAACCCTAGCACTTTTACTTTTAAAACGGCTATTTACTCATCTGGATAGCAGATGTAATATCATCTGGTGTAAGTCCTTCCATTTTATTTATCCAAACTCACATAATCATAGCTGGGTGCATATAGAATATGTACTGTCTTCCAAAATAATTGGCACACACACATATATATGTGTGTGTGTGTGTATGTGTGTATATATATATATACATATATATACGTATATATATGTGTATATATATATATATATAGTTTTACAATTTTAAGTTCTCCTTTAACATTGCCTTATATAAATGAATTTGGACTACTCATATAGTCCCATTTTCTTAACTATTTCCATAATACTCTGTGATAGAGATATGCCATAATTTATTCATTTATTTCCTGTTAAGGACATTGACTGTTTACAATTTTGTGCCATTATGAGTAAAACTGCAATAAACACCATTGTATTCCCCACAAGTAAACACTCCACACAGTTTGTACTGTATAGCTAATAAGTGATACTTATATTATGACATTTGTGGGCCAACTGTGCATCTCTTAGGAAATGGCTGGATTCAACTGACTCCATTTGGACTTTTATCCTCCTTAAAGCCATAAACACTGTCATCTGCCTGTGGCATACTTCACAGTAGTAGGATTCTCAAGATGGTGATTGCTAGGTAAAAGGATTATGCATTTTTCATTTCTGAACAGATGTTGCCAAATTGCTTTCCCAAAGAGAATATAGCTCTGCACATACCACCAGCAATGCATGGGCATGCCTTCGCCCTTGAATTCCATCCAGCAACAGGTGCCAAATGGGTGTTAAGTCACGTCTCATAATTGCTTTAAATTACACATCACAGACTGCCATTAAGCTCCAGCTTTACTGTGTTAACATTAGCATTGTGAGTTTGCTATTTAGTGACTGCTTGTTCGTATGTCTTACACACTTAAAAACTGAGTTATGTGGGTTTTTTTTCTTGTCAAAAATTTAAAATCCTTCGGAATAGCAAATGTTAGTTATTACATTGTGAATAGAACTATCATTTTTTTTAGGTGATTTTGCTTATTTACACGGGTAACAGCAATGATTCTTTTCAATCCTGTCTTTTCATATTTTGGTATATATACCTCATTCTTATTTTTCACAAATACAGTATATTTACTTTGTTTTGATTTTGGCTTACATCAATCAAGGATGTATTGTCATTAAGTATAAGGCATCTTTAACACGGATAAATTTAATACTTCCAGAGTCTGTATAGGAAAATCCATCCTTCCTTACATGACCAAAGTGTTATTCCAATCATAGAATAGAGGTCAGGTTCCAGGCTCGGAGTCTTACACCCATATGTGATGTACTATTAACAACAATGCAGAAATCTCATGGAATGTTAGTATGATGTGCGTCTCAGTGATATCTTGGGCTGGTAGATTATCTCAGTGGGCCCTTGGGTTCAAGCCTGGCTGGATCTGAGTCCATGGACTCAGGTCCTCTGACCTGTACAGGGTGTCACCCACCTTCTGTAATATAATAAACTCAGGGGGTGCCACCTGTCCCCTGTAATAATAATAATAAACAATGACTTTAAACTTTAAAAATGAAACTAATGCCATGATAATGGTGTCCGACAAAACAAATATTTCTCTTCTTCCCTTTGCCCACCCCTTCCCTGCAATGGCTATGCTCATTTATTACATATCTATATAAACTTCAAGAGATATTATGAAACTTTAAAAAAATAAGTAGAAGCATTTTAAGATTGCTATTTTTATTGCACTAAAGTTTTGTATTAACTTTGATCATTGATCTATTTTATTGTTAGTTCGGGGAGTAGAATCAACATGTGTCCTTTAGACTTCATTCTATGCTCATTATGTTTGTTAACAGATATTCTGTCTTTTCTTAAGATTTCTCCCAATTGTTATCGGTTTTAATATTTAATAACTTAGTTATAATTTTTACTTCTTTTATTCCTGGATAAACATACAATACCAATTACAATATATCTACTATTAATAAATTAACTTCTCTTAGAATTACAATTTTTTTCTAGTAAATTCTCCTAAGTTTCCTTAAAACTCACGTTACAGTGAGGGGATTAATATATTTTTTCCAATTTATGTGATTTAATTTTCATGTGAAATGATGGTGAAGGAAATTTTGCTTTTAGGGATTAATTTTGTTTATTCAATTTTTATTATGCTTTTTATCTTTTTATAATAAATATTTACTGTTGGATTTCAGTGAAGATATTTTATCAGTTTCAATTACCTGGGAATTTTATTAAGAGCGACTACTTCATGTTATTCAAAGCTTCAGTCTATGCCAATAGGGCAACTCAATTAGAGCCTTTAATTGGCTTCTGCAGTGCATTTGGTAATCCCTTAATCTGAATCTCCACAGGTATCCTACTCTAGCCCTGTTTGACATTTGCTGAATAGTTCAATTCTATCTGCTAATGTCTTATTTAATACATTTGTATAGGTGCTTGTGTGTGAAATCTAGCTGCAATTTAAGTTCCATTAACTGTGTGATTGAATTATCCCAACTTCTTAGAAACTATCTTTTATCTTAGAACATTAAATTTTTTAAACATTTAAACAATTTAAATCTTGGGTCCATAAAGTCCAACTAGAAAACCAACTGCTCCTTTTTTCACTGATGTGTTTTCAGCTTCTTCTCCAGTTTCTTCCATAGTAATTGACATAGCCATATTTTGTTATTAAGTTTTTATATCCTCCAGGTTATCTGGTTGGTTCTTTCGGGTTACATGCTAGGGACCCCACCTTTTTTTTTTAGCCCATCTACTGTGGTCTTCAGTTCCTAGTTTGTCTTATTTCTTTTTCCTATTTCCTGTTTTTTTTTTAATTGATCACAAATTAAACCAACTTTTAAAGTTATCTCCCTCTGTACAACTTTACGACTGTGTTTCATCAATTTTCCTGATCATATTTATTAATTCCCTGTTACTTTGAATCTGCTTTTTTATTTCCAAGGTAAAAAT